GAAGGTGTTAGGCACCCTACACCGCCCTTACGGTATTGCGTTTCCAAATCTATTGATTTCTTTATGATGGATCTACCTTTGAAAATATTTATGACAATAAAAGTAAAATTTAAAATTTTAATACGGAAAAATGATTAGCGAAATTAATGGTAAAGTGTTTACATATTCATGCACATACATATATATATAGGGGTTAGTTTTCGCCAAATATATATATACATATATATACGGGTATTATTTTTACATGTGTGTGTATATGTATATATATACAGGGGCAGTTTCACCAAAATATATATACATATATATTATGATAAATAATATTTATTCAATACATACATGTATATATGTTTGGGGGCAATTCCACCAAAATATATGTATACATGTGTGTTATGATAAATATCATTTATTCATTTTTATTTATTTATATATATATATATTATGATAAACATACACATATATATAAATAATACAGTGATAACATAAGTATGATAAAATGATAAAAATGAAATAAGATAGATTAACTTGGATGGATTAAAGGAAGTAAATAGATAATAAAAATATTGTTCATTACTGTTAGAATTTACCATTCACACTCACCTACTACACTCCACTACTCACACTCACCTTTCTTTTTCCTTTTTTTATTATTTTACTCTCTCTTTTGAGTGTGTACTACCAAACTGTTAGAATTTACCATTCACACTCACCTACTACACTCCACTACTCACACTCACCTACTACACACTCACCTACTACACTCCACTACTCACACTCACCTACTACACTCCACTACTCCTCACCTACTACCCAAACCCTCTCCTATATAATGCCACTCTGATTTGTAATACAAAATATCAATCAAGAACAAACAATCTTGTAAGACATCAATCAATCAATAATACATATTTTCTTACATGGTATCAGAGCACTAAGATTTAGGCCTGTTTTTTTTTCTCACCGGCGGGCAGCCGGCCGGCAACTTTGCCTTCGCTGCCCGCTGGAATTTTCTACCCATTACTTCGAGTTCTTCGCCATATTGCTCACGAGTCTCAGGCGGGCTTGCCTTCATATCGCAGCCCGACTCGGAGCCTTCCTTGCACTGCCGAAGGAATCCTTTAACCATCAGTCCGCAACCTTCTTCCGGCAAGTCGTTCGCCGGAAAGTCCATCGCCGCCGTACACTCCGGCCTCACCAACATCGATCAGCTGGCGGACACCCCCACCCGCTGCTCCCACCACCGTCGCGCACAGTTAGCGCCCTTCTTCCGGTTCCCCGACGACATCCTCCTTGACGACGACGACTTCCACCTCGCCTCCCTCGACTTCCCTTATATTGCAGAACACCGTTCTCTGGCATTCTCCTGGCTGCTGTGAGATGAGAGAGAGTACACTGCTATTATTTATTTATTTTTTTTCTGAACTCACCCTTCCACCACTTTTATCTTTTATCTATTTTTTTTTACTTTATTTTATTCTTCTACAACACCACACCCAGCAACCCACGTGTCCCACCTTGGCGCATGAATCTGAGGATAAATCAAACCCCACTTCAAGCATCCTCCCACTTACCTTTCTTTTTCCTTTTTTTATTATTTTACTCTCTCTTTTGAAAACCACTTAACTTTCTTTTTTTTTTTTTTATTTATTATTTTACACCCTTTTTTGAACTGAAACCGACAACACCACCCCAAGCAACCCACTATTATTATCTCCATTTCTTTATTTTTTTTTCTTTTACTTTCCAGACCACTCACCCACACACACATTGCTGTGCCCATGTATATCTCTTTTCTCTCTCTGCCACTTTCAAACCCTCTTTATCTTTTATCTATATATATCTTTATCTCTTTATTATACTCTATTCCCAAACACTCATCACACGCATGCACATGGCAGACACCACTCCATTTTCTTTCTTTTATTTTCTTTATTTCTTTATTATTTTTTAAAAAAAAAAAAAAAAAAAAAAAAACAGAGGAAGAAGACGAACTGCACACCAACTTATTTTATTCATGTCGGGACTCACCCCACCCCGTTCACCATTTTACATCCCAAAAAAAAAACAAAAACAAAAAAAACAAAAAAAACAAAAAAACCCACATCCACAGGCCGGATTTTCTTCTCTACTCTGCCGCCAGTCTCTTCTTCTTGCCTCCGTCCTGAGCGGCCCTTGACGGTGTTGCCTCCGTGCTTCCTCGACCACCAAGCAAGTTGCTTCCTCCCTGCTCCTCCACTGCAGCATATGGCGGCCCTCCAAATCGGAACATCACGGTGGCCTTCCGCTTCAGCTCCTTGTTTTCTGCCCTTAGCACGCTTATCTCTGCTCGCGCATCCTTATACATGCGTTGGAGCAGAGCCAGCTGGGAGTTTAAATGCTGCACCTCATTTGTCCTACTCTGCAGCCGGTTCGACAAATTTGTGACCGCCGTCATGCTTTCCACACATGCCTTCAAAGTATACTGATTGGCCTCCACATCCGACAGCACTGCCATTCTTTGCTCCACAGACCGCATCGGAAAGTTCAACGGAGTATACTCCGGGGTGCTTGGTTGAGTTTCCAGTGCCACCGCACCAGTTCTCTCTCTCGTTGACTCGTTGAGGTCGGGAAAGAGGGTGAGCAGCCCGCGGGAAGACGATGAAGCCATTTTCTAGGCAACAGAGTGTTACACAGTCTCTTTCTCAGCAAACTCTCTCAGACAACCGAGTGTTACAGAATCTCTCTCAGCACTCTCTCTCAGAATATCTCTCGCAGGTTCTCTGCCTCGGCCTCTGCCTTCGTCTTGGTTATATAGCCAAGGCAGCCACGCGCATCGCGCGCCTCTTGACGCCCGACAAACTGGCACGCCTTTTCATGGCACGCCTTTTGATGACTCGGGCACGCCTTTTGATGACACACCTTTTGAGGGCACGACTTTTGAGGGCTCGATATATATCTCCATGTATATTTTTTGGGCAGCCTATATACACACTCATACAGTGTCTTCTACACCAGCCAGCTTTATCAATCCCTTTGTTTCAACCTCAAATAGGTTTCTATCTTCACACCTATTTGAGTTTGAGGGGGGGGTTATACACAGTATCATGTATAAGTCACTCATGGCGCACTCCCTAAGTCGCCCCCTTGGTACACCACCACAACATTCTACAACGGTCCGACATGACCCCATAAACTGTCTTCTACATCGGTCTGACACCGCCATCCAGTGTCCTCTACACCGTTATGACACCACCATACAGTGTCCTCTACAACGTTATGACACCACCATCCAGTGTCTTCACCAACGGTCTGACACGACCATACAGTGTCTCATATCCTTTTTTATTTTTATGTATTTTATTATTTTGTTCCTCTCTTCAAACTCAAGTTGGTTAGTTTCTATCCTCCTTGAGTTTGCGGGGGGCTGTTAGACTTTACCATTCACACTCACCTACTACACTCCACTACTCACACTCACCTACTACACACTCACCTACTACACTCCACTACTCACACTCACCTACTACACTCCACTACTCCTCACCTACTACCCAAACCCTCTCCTATATAATGCCACTCTGATTTGTAATACAAAATATCAATCAGGAACAAACAATCTTGTAAGACATCAATCAATCAATAATACATATTTTCTTACAATTACGATGAACAATATATACAAATATCCACCTGTGGGTTTTAAACAAAATCAAAATAGCTAACACATTTTTTCTTTTTTGCTCAGAATTTTTTTTTTAAAAATAAACTTTTTTTTCCCCAAACTCTCTCAATTCTGCATTTCTCCCCGAGCCTCTCTTTCTTTCTTAGATCTCCTTCCCTTTTCTCCTCCTGAGCTGCTTTATTTATAGAGCTGAAGAAAGGCATGATGATGAAAATATGATGATGATGATGAATGGGTTGATGATGATGATGTTGTTGTTTGATTGGAAAGTCAAACAGCTAATTATTTGGTGGAATTTGTCCACCGACTTTTCCTTCTTTTTTTTTTTCAAACTCACTAGAATTTTATTTGGTGTGGTTGAGGTACATGAACTTCTTGATTTGAACGGTTGAGGTTTGCTTAATGAATAGGGAAATCATTAGGTGTAACCAAGGTTGTTAAAATCGGGATCCTAAGTAGGATCAGTGAGAGGGTCTGGTGGATCGGATCGTAGGATCGGATCGAGGATCGTAAAATCCTACTTTCTATTAAAAAAAAAGATAAAAATTAAAATTAAAATGATACATATTAAAAAAAAGGTGAAAAATCATAAAATCTACGATCCTACCTACGATCCTATACGATCCCACACGATCCCATGCGATCCTACACAATCCTACTTGTGATCCTGTTGTAATATCGATCCTACAACGATTTGGATCATTTTGGCAAAGTAGGATCGTACGATCCTACGATCCGAATCGCGATTTTAACAACCATGGGTGTAACACAGTACACCATAATTTCATGGTTCTCCTCCTTGATTTGTTGAAAAATCACCTAACCAATGTTCAATTTTAACAAAAATTTGTGCCCAAAGGTTTTTGGGCATTCCGGATCCAATAGTGAGTTCTATTTCTGCAAATTCTTTAGACTTTGGGCAAAATGGGGTATCAACAACAGTCTAGAGCATATTGTGGAGCTTGAAGTTGTTGCTAAATAGTTACATGTGGAACAAAGATGGAGTACCGAGGACTTGGGATGATTTTAGAACTTCTAATTGTTTATTCGATCTTCAATAAACAGATAAAGAATCAGGCTAAAATCCTAAACTTAATACCTTGGTGATATTATCTTTGAATGCATATGCATGCATATACTTGGAAGAACTTTGGTAAACCACTATTTGATTCCTTCATGTCCAAACTTAAAGTTCCATTGTGAAACCTGAAATTCAGTGAACATGTTTCTTCTTGTTCTTCTTTTCTGAGAGTTTGACTTGATAATCGAAATGATGTTCATTGGAATGCATTGAAATTTGTTACATTCAAATGACACTGAATTATGTGCTGCTTTTTCTCAGGAGAAGCCTCGTAAGCTCAAACTGCATTCTGCAATCAATATCGGCACAAAACCAAACAGTTCATCAGATGGTAAGGGGTTGAGAAAGGGCATTTTGGATGCTGTGACCAGTCACAAGAAGAAACCAAGAGTAAAATGTTCAGCTACACACAAGAAGAACAAACTCCTGCAAACTTCTAAGTTGATCAAGCAGCAAAAAACAGTTTTTCCTGTTCGTAGTATTCTCAAGAATAAAAAAAAGGGAATTTCAGGGGAGCACCCCATGGTATGCAACTCAAAGATTTCTAGTCAAGTGAATCAGTTTGGTAGTACACAAGTGGATAGGCGCGTCAGGTTCTCAGATAAGGATGACATATTGGGACCAAGAAGGAAGGATTTTTCTTCTGTAGACTGTCCTAAAGTGCCAAAGTTTGTGGTTCAGAATCTACAATCCATTTCCTGCTGCTTTGTTAAAGGGCCTGGTATTGAAAGGGGTAAAGATTTAACCATTGAGGTGGATGGAAGTGATGAAGATGTTTCAATTAGCACAGAAAATGAGACAGAGGTTCAACCTATAAGTGAAAGGCAGTTGTCTGATACTTGCTGTCTTGATACACCAAATTTCCTGAGGCCACATATGGGTTGTCAAGAGCATTTATCTGACAGATCTATGACTGTAAATCAAGTTGCACTTCGTAGTGAAAATTCGCAAACAATTGAACAAGGATACAGAGACGCATCACATGAACCCTTGTATGCTTGCTCTCCAAGGTTCCCTTCGCTGCCAAAAGAGGGGTATAATCCCAGTGTGAATACTCAAGTTGGTGCAGACATTTTAAGAGCTTCCAATACAAGTGACAGATTGATTGAATATCAGTCTGGGGATCCTACCTCTAGTGCTGCTGCAGTGTGTTCCATGGGGTATGTAAAGGCATTTCCTCCGCCTTCATCATCATATTTTGCTATGAATGGAAATACAAATGGAAGGCTTCCATGTCCATCGCAGAACACCACAGTAAATTACAATAACAAAGCTTTGCAATACCAACCATTCCGTCATCTGTCTCCCAAGGAATTGATGCGTAGTATATGTTCCTTTCCGGACTGGAAGCAAAGAGCAGTTACAGGTAAAGAAAAATGCATGGATGAAGATTTCTGTGGTTTGCCCCTTAACTCGCATGGGGAAATAATCCAGTTCAATTCAATTGGTAAAGGCATGTTTAACCATCTGATAAGGCCGCCAACAAGTACAGTAACAGGTTCTTCAAGGAGCTTAGCTGTGCATAACATGCTGACAAATGGCACTGTGAATCTTTCAAATTTCAAAGATACAAATTATGTTGGGGGAGCACCAACAGTGGACCAATTAAAAGTGTTCCCTGTTCGTAGCTGCGTGAAAGAGAATCCTAACATACCTGTGTCTTCTAGGTTAGGTTTTCATAGATTACAAAGTACTGAAAGAACAGATGTCCACTGTTTCGACTCTGTCGATCGTCTAGAATCAGACTTGGAGCTAATGAACATCTCTCAACAAGGGCACAATCAATATAACCAGGTTCAGAACCAAATTGGAGATGGAAAGGGTAATCAGCAAGGGAGCTCTGACCATGTGCCAATGCGTGTGACCCAACCAACAATGCGACTGATGGGTAAAGAGTTTACAGTTGGTAGAAGTGCCAGAGACTTGCAAGCATACGAAGATGGAAAGGTTTGGACTGACAAGCAAATCATAGCGGAGCATCGTCAAGCCAACACTGCCATGGACAGCTTGTCGTTGGGGAGACAGCTTTGAATGAGGACTTGATTGTACACTCTGCTTCAGGGAAATTAAAAGAGAATGTAGCTTGCTTATCAGAACCTCAAATCAATCAAGCATCACAAAGCACTATTCAGATGAAAAATCCAGGTTCTGGGTTTTCTTACCCATACCTCAACTGTAAAACTGATACAGGATATCCAAATTGCTATCCCACAATCAGTGGAAATCATATTTCTCAATTGCATCCTTATTTACCTTCAGCTGCTTCTCCTCCGTTATTTAGTCGGACTCCACTTCTCCAAGAGGCCTTTATATCTGGGTACGAATCTCTGAAACTCAATGCCCAGATACCGAAATTGGCCTCGACTCCTCGTCGAAATATGAGTTCACAAAACAAGCAGAAACTGCATCATGCTACAAAATCAGCCTTTGAGTTTCCTTTCTTGCATCCAGATTGTGGAGAACATGTCCGGCGGCCATCTTGGTTTCAGAGCTCTTCTAAGAGCTTGCCACCATGGTTGTTAAGTGCAACACAGCAGAAGGAAACATCACTTGGTTCTTGTCAATCTTATTCTGATGTGGGAGGTAAACGTCACTCCTGCACAATGTCTGGTACTAGCCTTCGAAATATCCCTTCTGTGCCAGAAGTTTCTTATCCATACAATCCCATGTCTTCCAACTCAGCAATGCAGAATTTTCTTGGTCCAGCACCCTTTGCTCACCACCCTCCACTCATTCCACTGAGTCGCGGGTTTATACAAACTTCTGGCATTAATAAGATCCATGGAGATAGAATGAAGTTCAAAGAGAGAATGATCCCAAGAGTGAGTGTTAAAGAACCTTTTCAGGGCAAGAAAACCCGGAAGAGGCCTGCAGCTAAATCAGATGATTCTGCAAAGCTGACTAAGATACCTAAGTTGACAGTTCAAGAAGATTCTAGCATAGCTGCACTTGAACTAGATTCAATCAGAGGAAAAGCGAGAAGTGTAGGATGTGGGGTGATTGAGACTCGGACAGATGAGCTGGGAGTTTCACCTGCTGTGGTTGATACCTTTAATGTGGATGGCATTGCAAGATCAGGTCCCATTAAACTAAGTGCAGGAGCAAAGCACATACTTAAACCGAGTTCGAATTTGAATCAGGATAACTCAAAGCCGACCCATTCAACCGTTCCTTTCGCTGCAGCAACTATTTCCGGTAGGGTTTCTGAATCCGAGAAGAAATCAGCCCAAATTTACAGGTTTTAAAAGTAAGTTTATTTTATCCTAATAAAATGTTTAGTTTCTTCTTTTAAATCTGCACTCATGCTTCTTCATAAATGTGTCTTATTTCTCTAACGCAACAGGAAATGCTTCCATTTTCCGAGGCACTGTATTCGTCATGCTGAACTGCTCTTGGGCTGTCAAGTTAAATTTGAAATGCCGATGCAGCTGACTTGTGAAATGCCAAAAGACCTGTTAAGTTATGCTTTTCTGTTTTTATACATCAGCCGGGTACTGTCAACGGTGGGTTATGTAATATGACATCCTCCTTTTAAGTGGTAAATTTTATGCATGACTTGTGACTTTCAATGGTGTAGAATATTTAACCTGTTTAGAACTTCTATCTTTTCCGTCCTGGCATTTTTGGAGAAACAATTAAATATATATGTTATTTATGTGCTCAAAAAATCATTTTCCATGGATTTATTGCTGCCTATGAGTTTATTTTTACTTTCATTTTTATTTTTAATTTTAATTTTAGTTTATTTATTTGTTGTTATTATTTAATGGCATTTGAGTTGCATAATTGGGAGAAAGGAAAAGTTAGCAAGTAGCATGTATGCTATATTTCTTTCTTTAATTGTTGGCTGCGGGGCAATTATGGAGATCTGTTTTCAGTCAACTTTCATGGGGTTTTAGGTTGTGTCTTTAATTATGCATTTGAATAGAAATTTGAAAATGAAAAAGAAAAAAATAAGTGAATTTAGATTGTAGTTATATTTCATTCATATTTTATTCATCTTTTTCATTTTTCTTTTCAACTTATCTAAATTCATTATCCATGGGGTCTCAAATACCTTCCCTTCAAATTCAAATCCATTGCTTGATTCTTGAACATTTCACTGAGGTTTTACCAAATTACCACAGGTTAGCACTTCATATTGAATTTCAAAATGTAGGGTTTATTTACAATTTATAGGAAGTTTTCAAAAGTTGCAGCAGCCAAAAAAAAAAAAACAAAAAAATGAAATAAAATTAATAAAAGAAAAGAAAGAAAGAAAGACATGGAATTTTGAATTTGAATGATCAAGATGCCCTTTGTCTCAAAAGGTCCAATTACATAGGAGTGACATCTGTGATTAGACTCTACGGAGTTGAGACTTTAGAGGTCACCCTTAGCTGGTAGTACATAGTAAGGTCACTCAATCATGTATTCACATTTTTGACACTTGATACGATTCACTCAGGTGTAAAAGTTTTATTCTATCAACTATATATGTTATAGCTTAAGTGACTGATTCTGAAAAAAGTAAAACCTGAGGTCTTGTTGTCAAGTTGCCATACAACTTGGGCTAATGGCCATAGTTTCTCTCATCCTCTTCTGCAAATTCCGAAAATAATGAATAATTTCTAGAAATTGAGACAGGTGGGGCATGTAGGATTGTTCTCTTTATGGTCCTAATATCTTACCTCAAATATTCCGAAAGCTTTTAATTTACTTTATACAAAGTCATATCATGGCAATAAATATAGGTATGGTTGGTGGTGAAGTAATTGGATTTTTTTAATATGGTATAAAGTGTGTTGGAATCACTCACTGTAATTTGGAACAGTAATTCAATTATTTTCAAATTGAAAGTTAGTTCATGTGATAATTACACTTGTGCCTGTTTGGTGGGTTGAACTGTTTTTTTTTTTATTTTATTTTGAAAATTTGTTTTAGTGTATTTGGTACAATTTAGAAGATAACAAATTATATAAATTTAAAACAACTTATTGTTAAGGGAGTAGAATCTTTCTGGTCTACAAATTGAACTAAACTGTACTGTTCAGGTTCATGGAGTCATTATGAGTCCTAAATTAATAATCTAAACTATTCATTTTTTATACTAAATAAACCCTAGGTAATGGTGACTCTATTTTGCATAATTAATGAGAAAAGATAAAATTATAACATGCATTACAAAAATATATATGATTATTTTTTTTTTTCCTTTTTGTGAAAGTTCTTGTTTACATGTTTTTTATTTGAAGGAATAATAAAATCATGATCAAGATGAATATTTGGTTTGAGAAAATTATGTTTTTAGTGGATTTTTTTAGATTTTAAGTTCTTTTTTTTATTAAACAAAAGTATACTGAAAATTTTCAATGTAGAAAGATTTAAAAATTAAATATTTTGGATCAAATTTTTAAAAGTTTAGTAATAAAAAAAATCACCAAAAAAATTTATTGCCAATTGAGTTATACACCATACGTGCATAACTTTTTTAAAATGTATTTTTGTTGATAATTCGTTTAAAAAATGGCTTGTGTGTACATTGAAAAATAATATCTAATTAAATATACATACACCAAATCATTTAAAACAATGTGATTTTGATATTTTGAAAAATATAATCAACATTTATGTATGTATTTCACTTTGAAATAAAATACAAAGGCTACACAAAATTATATATATGTTTGGAAATGTGTGTCACTTTTTTAGTCTAGTCCAATTACATACATCTTTTTTATTGCATAATTCTATTTTACTTATAATAGGTGTGAAATATACATATCATCGTATATATCAGACTTTTATTTTAAGTAAAGATGACAGTTTATATGAAAAACAAATAACATTTATAATATTTTTTTAAAATTATCTAAAAAATATATTAATGATCTATATTTATTATAAATATGACTCATATTTCGTTAATTTTAAATCTAAGGATAATTTTTCATAGTTGATATAGCATTATTGCCATCAAAAGTTGCATAAAAAAGTATGGGTGAAGAAGACACATAATGACATGCATGCATATACATATAGTTATATGCATAGGGACATCCATGCATGATAGCTAGGTATACATGCAAGAGACATGGCATGGTCCAAGGATGAACTAGTGGGGTGAGTGAGGCAACTCACGTGAAATCTTTTCATGACAGAGAGAGAACAAACAGTTTGACATGATTACATTTAAGAGCTTGGAAGACAAAATTAAAGATAAAAAATAACAATAATCTTAGGTATATTGAAAAAAAATATCATAATTTTTTTTTTAAAAATTAATTTGTAATATTTTGTTGTATTTTATATAATTAGTCTAAAATTAATGTCATGAAACTCTTTATAATATATATTTTTTTATGATTCGTAACCTTATTTAAAAAAATAAAACAAATATTATTATTACTTGTGATGAAAACATAAGAACTCAATGTTCATATTATTATTATTTATTTATTTTTTGGGGATGAATATATGAGATCTAATGTGATGAAAACATAAGAACTCAATGTTCATATTATTATTATTTATTTATTTTTTGGGGATGAATATATGAGATCTAATATGTTCAATAAAAAGCATTACACAGGTCATGAACTGACTATGACCATCGTGGGTTTGGATCTGGCAAAAAATTTCATTTTAGTTTCTAGCTAGTCTCTCCATTATGTTTTCCTTTTTTTAAAATTGAAATACAATTGTTTGTTTCCACTTTTCAAAAAACACTTTTCAGAAAATTCTACTTTCTTATTTTTTGTTTTTTTGTTTTTACTGAATTTTTTAAATATTTTAAGCAATTTTTTTACTTTTTAGACACACCTAACATAAATACACCTAAAAAGTAAAAAATTTGTAAATTTTTTTTTTAAAAATTCACTAAATACCAAAAATACTAAAAAAATATAAGAATTCAATATATTTTTTGTATTTTTATGTATTTATTAATTTTTTAAAATATTTTTTCACAAAATTTTTACTTTTTAAATACATTTAAGTAAGGTGCATCTAAAAAAGTAAAAAAAATGTTTAAATTTAAAAATATTCACTAAAAATAAAAAAACAAAAAAAACTAGTAATTTTTAAAAAATTTAATCCAGAAAACTCAAACAAAAAACGCTGATTTTTTTTATGCAATTTAACCCAGAGTGCTGACAATGGACCAGTTTTGACCCATTTGAAGATGTTCCAGACTAAAGTCCAATTACATTATGGGCTTGACAAAACAAATTGAGACCTAATAAGGCCCAACTAGTAGCCCAATCACCACCAAAATGAAGGCAAGGCCTTTTGTGGCCCAAAAATTGACATTCACAGAAGCAACAAGCTATCATCAAGCCCATCTTTTGTTTACTTACATTTGATGAAATTGGAAGAGATTAAGGGGTTGTTTGGAATGTCCTAAATAAGTGTACTTTTTATTTTTTTGACTAAAAGGTTGAGGAAAAAAATATGGATGTTTGGATTAATTTTTGACTTTTTATGAAAAAATGTGCATTAAAAAATTGTATAAATGAGTGTATAAGAGAAGTTTTAGTGAAGTAGATAGTACGCCCCGTAGAATCTGGGTAGAGCAATGGGCTAAGTAGGAGATAGGAAATGGTTGCTTCATTTTCGGGCTTGAATTGAACGACGTTGTTCGGCCGTTGAGGGCCCACCACAGGTCCCATTTTGCTAATCGGAAACGTTCAATGTGTAGAACTCGTCGAGTATTATATATTTATAAAAAATTACGTTGATCGGATATCAATAGCTATCTGATCGTATTAGTTTTTTGTCAACCGTTAACTATAACACCATCTATTTTTTTATACAAAACTGATTTGATTATGTAGTTAGCGATATCTGATCAATGTGATTTTTTACAAGCGTATAGTACTCGACGAGTTGTACACATTGAATGGTTTACATTATCAAAACATGACCCGTAATAGGCCCCCACGGACTGAACAGTATCGTGTTGTTTATGAACTCTGCCTGTGCAATTTTTTCAAAAAAAGTCAACAAAGTTTGTGGGCGAGGCAGGCACTGGTTGTAATAATTAAGTGTAAATTTTTTTTTTATTATATTTTTTGAATGAATAGTGATAATTTTTTAATTTTTTAAATAATTTTTTATTTTTTTGATTTTTTTTTTATGTACCTCAAACTAAGCCTGAGAATTAGAGGGAGCGCCCCCCCTCCTAAAAATTGGGAACTGATCCAAGCCTAAATCATTTGAGTGAGCTATATCAAATCATGCGCTTGATTTAAATTGTTGAACGAATTTGATGGAGAAAAATAAAAAGAAAAGTTAAGGATAAGAGATACCCTTATACTTTTAGAAAGTCAGTGCCAATCATTACTGAGAACTTGTTTAGAAATTGACTTTCTTTTTTCTTTTCTTTTTTTAACTTAAAAAATGTGTAAAAAAATAAAAAAAATTTGATAACATGTAGGGATTTTTTACCTAAAAATTTTACATACTAAAAAGCATATTAAAAATACAAATACTCACATGTGATTGATTGTTAAAAAAATAATAATAATAACATTTAAATCTCCAATTATATTTAGACATGGACACCTTTAGTAGGATTGTTAGGGTTGGTTTGGGGTGTTCTAAAAAAGTACACTTTTTGTCTTTTTACGAAAAGATGTGCAGAAAAGTAGAGAGGTGATGTGATGAAAAAAAGATAAAAAAATGAATTATATAGGTTATGCCAAACCAGGCCTTAGTAAGAGTAATATTTTAAGTTCAAAACTTAACTTTCGAAATAATACCTAAATATAAGAATTGATAATTTTTTGAACAATTTATTAGAAAATTATCTTTCAAGTACTTATATCTCAATTAATTTATAAGATATTCTTATATTCTAATAAGTCTTATTATTTTAAACATTTGATTTAGTAAGTCATAATTTTCATAATTAAGGTATTTTATGAACAATTTTATTTTTATAAATATTTTTTAAACCCTTAGTAACTTGGTGATATGAACATTCATATTAAATAAATTTGATAATGTGAAAGTTCATGCTGATAATGTGAATATTTATATCATGAAATATTCATACTGTTAATATGAACATTAATGCCGGCTTCACCCTATTATTAGAACCCTAAAACCCCAAAACGCACCATTCGATCGGTCTCAGCAAGCTTCTTCGTCATTCTCTGTACGCTCTCAAACTCTCTCTCTCTCTCTCTGCAATACATATGAGATTTATTAGAGTTTATAAAGTTCAAATCTGCAAAATGGTTTATATTGAATCCGAAATCCGAATGTTATTATTACGGTACGGTCTTCCTCTCGGTGTTTCATTGTGGGTTTAAGATCGGCGTTCAGGGTTCCGATAGGGTTTTAAACCGGTACTTGTGACCCGATTTATGAGTACACGTTTCGGATCGGGTAGGCCCGGTGGATCTAATTAATCGGGTCGACCCATGTCGGATACACCTCGCTAGCTCCGGTGGATTCGGGTTTTTAGAGCTTATATCTGATCTGGGTCGGCCTTCTTTGGGCGGTTAAAGCCTGTTTGTATGCAGAATTTAAGGGTTCTGTTCTCATGATTTTTTTTTCCTGTAACTTTGGTTACTGTTATTCTCTTGTGGGTTGTGAGTATTGACAGAGTCATTTAAATGCTTATTCAATATGATTTCCTGAATTTAAATGCTTGTTATTATTATTTTTCTATCGTTGTCTGTATGTTGCTTGAGCTTCTTTGTTGTCTTTGTTCAACTATTGCTATAGTGGTATTAATCTAAATAACTTGCTTGTTCTGGGTTATTGTTATTTCAAATTTTTCATCACTAGCTTGTTTTGCGGTGTTATCAATTCAGGTTTTGATAACTACCATCCTTTGTTGGGTTTTGGGCCTTCTTGTTGTCTGTTCTATTGAACAACTTGGCTCTAACCCAGTGAGAATGTGGTGGCATATTTTTGTTTTGTTTTGTTTCTTCATGGAATGGGTATTGTGATGGTATGCCAATTTCAATGGAACATGAGATATCTGAGAAAATGTATTTTGATGATGTTTTACAACTGGACATGGTGGTTCTAATTTTATACTGTTTTCAAGTATGTGAAACGTTTGAGATTAGCTAATGGGTTACAAGCAACCTACTTTCTAAAGGAAGTCTCGAAAATTGAAACAAAGCTGTTTAAGTGAAAAGTATAGGTGACTTTTGGATAGAGAGATCGCCTTGGCTAGCAATTGTTGGTGGGAGTTTCAAAATGATTTTAAAATGTTGATTTTGCATAGCTTTTGGCACCAAACAATATTTGAAGTTGGAGTTCTATTTATTTATTTATTGTTGCAAATATTATGAGTACTTCTGAAAGGAGCTATTTTATGTACAATCCTCTTGAAAGAGTTGGGTTTGATTAAATGTTGAGAAAGGGTAATGATGCCATCTCCTAAGGGATACCCAGTGGCTTAGGTTATATTATCCTAGTAAAAGACTAAAGTTCAAGTCTCCTACACTTACCTAAAGAAAAGGGTTTTGATGTCATTTGCAATTCTAGATGTAAATGTTGGTAATGACCAAGAATTGTAGTGGGAGGAACCATTGGAACCCAAAATACATTCGTCAATTGTTAGCGATAGCATCTAAGTGTGCTAGTGAGAGAGCCTTCTAGAAAGTATGACGGGTGTTGAGATAGTGTTGGGTCACTAGGGATGGGTTGCGTAAAATCAGAGGCAGTTTGGGAGTAGAGGGGAGAGAGAGAATAGTTTGGATATGGAGAGCTAGAGCTTTCACGTAAAAAATGGAGAAAATCAACATGCCACCATGCATTGTGGGGATATTTATAGGACCGTCAAACCATGAAGGTTAGGTCTACTTATCACGTTTCCGTGTGAGGACAGAAGGATAGATTTTTCCTCTTGCTTGGTCTGACAATATGGAGGCAACTATAACTATTGGTAATGCACTAAATTCTCTTGGGCTACGTTGCAAAACTACGATCATGGTCGGGGTCTCTAAAATCAATTTAGATCCAATTCCTTGAGGGAGAATGAGACCAGACCTTAACAAATCCTCTAATTCTGGTGGCTCAAGCACCAGATTACAAGAATGTGCAGCACAACCCTAAGGGGATTTTTTCAACCTAGATTATTTGAGAGGTTGAGATTCAATGCTATTGGAGAACCAAATATAGGTTCTAGGAGATGCGCTTAAGTAGAGAACTGTTTGGTGCAAGCATAAGTATCCAAAAAATTATTTTCGTATTTGTTATTTTGAAAAAGATTGGGAGTCATCACTTGGTTTTTGTTTAAGGTATCACCAAGAATCCAAAAAGAATTGACTCCAATAAGGCATGGTCTAACTTCACCAAATGACTAAGTTAATGGCTAAGGTACAAGATGAGAAAGTGTCTGACTGCCTTTACTCATCAATGTTGGTTCAATTCTTTAAATTTATCAGGCCTTAATATGCATGAATAGCAGATATGTATAGCACAAACAAAGATGAGACGAACTAGGTAGTGGGACGAGGCCAGGATGACATAAACAGAGATATGCTATTTTCTCACATTGGTAGTGCAATACAAAGTCTTTTAGATTCATCTTTATTTCTTTCTTCTCTACCACATTTTGTTCTACTTTCTTTGCCCCCGTTCTTGTTTGCTCTTTCTTCTCTTTCTTCAATGGAAAGAACTTCCCAAAGTCTTCATGTTACCTGTAGTTCATAGGCACTTGAGAGACCCTTCCAGGAATCCTGGGCTGTTACAGTTGCTACTACCTTCCCATTAGAAGGTACATCAGTAAAGATTGATGTTGAGGCAGCTCATGTAACCTTATAGGACTTATGGTTCCGAGCTCCATAATTAAGGGATGTCAAGTTATGGTCTCGTGCCTTTTCTTTTTGTGCCACTGGTTTAGTAGATTTTGAATGTAGTAGGTGGTCGCTGCTGTACTGATAATTTTGGACAATTTCTAATGTGTTAGATGGTGTACTTTGTTTATTATGTTTCTCCAATGTTATATTTTTCCTCTAGATGTTTTTACAGCCTTGTATGTGGTATATCTTTGTGAATTTTCCAAATACCATGATGCACATTGTCACGAAGTCACCTTTGGACTTTTCACATCTGCAACCAATATGTGTTTTTGAACCTTGTGCTGATCTCTCCAATGAATTTCATTTGACTAGGTCCTTTATACCATGTGACATGTACACCTAACCTATCTAATAATTTTAGTACATTTTGCTTATCAATGCCATTACAAATCTGTATATTTGGGATTACTTCAACTGGTTTATTAGTGAATTTTTTTCCCTTCACATAAATTTGTTCACCTTATAATCCATAGGAATTTGCTTGAGTGGCAAGTCTATATAATTTTCATCAACAATTTCAATATTTCTCAAGCCTATAATGAATAGATGTGGTGAAGAACCCCAATTTTGAATTTTGATACTGAATTGATGGATTCAAGGCCAGTTCTGTTTTTTCTTAAATTGTTTTTTTATATACGAAAATGATAATGAGCATTATTTCAAGCCGCAAATTAAGTATAATTTAATAAGCTAATCATAAATTTTTTGATAGGAGAAAAGCAAGAAATAGAGGGAGTCCTGTAGGAGAGGATGATTAAGATATGACTCTCAGCATATCGTTAGCAAAATCCTAGGGTTTTGTTTTTACTTGTTTTAATTGATTGGCAATTAGCACTCATTAAGACTGATGAGTAAGGTTGCATGCATCTAACCCTCCTCAAAGGCCACACTGACGAGAGCCTTGTGAAGTAAGAATGATTGGTAATTAGAAATATTCTAGAAATTGCTATAAAAAAATAAGAACACTGGTTTTTATTTATGCGTTAAATTATTTATTAATGGTGATCAGACCTTGTTAGGGGCTTATTATTATTGTTGTTGATAGTTGTTGTCGTCTTCCATTGTTAAATGCTATTTGGAAGCCTATAAATATAATTAAGATGAAGAAATAATTTGATCTCTATGCTCATCATTTAGGGAAAGCCTGTGTACTTAATAATTTAAGAGAAAAAATATTGTGGAGTACAGTTGAGTTGAAGACATGAATGTAGTTGGTGGTTATTTGGAAGGCTGAGCATTGTTGACATGAAAAGATGGGAAATTTTGGAAGGCCAGTTCTGTTCTAGGTTAGGGTTTTTATTAGTGTGGGATGGCCTAACTGTTGGGATTAGTGGAGTGAAGCGAGGGAAGGCAAATCTTGGGGTGCTACGAGGGACCATGATTAGTAGTACTAATTGATTGTACTTACTGGTGGATTATGTTCTATCTGGGTTTGAGTGAATAAAGATGGTGGGGTGGGGTTTGTCTAATGGGATTTTAGAAGTAGTAAAAGGGGTGAATTCATCTAGCTCTAAGGTTTTTATATGTAACTAGAACACTGAGAAGAAAAGAAAATAAAGAATTAGAGGTAGACAAACGCTACACATAGGTTACCTTTGGTATGGTTAGTTGCAACACACTACTTGAAAGACTTCAAAAGCTTTGAAAATTTCTCTAGACCAATCTTTATTGCATTTGAAAACTTCACATTACTACATGTAGATTAACACTAATAGGACTTGTACTTTGACTAGTAAAACCTACATTAAATACTGAGCTAACATTTATTCATCCATAGTAAGGTGTACTCAATGCATGAAGCTCCCGCTTAAGCGGGGTCTGAGGAAGGGTTGATGTACGCAGCCTTGACCCCCTTGGTGACCTGGAGGTCACGGGTTTAAGTCGCGGAAACAGTCTTTCCGCTTTAATGCCCAATAATAATTATTCATCCATACTATCCTTGGACCACAACTATAGCTGATGTCCAAGAATATTATAAATCATATTGAAAGCTGACCTTTCTTGTATTTAACCTGTATGAACACAGAATAATACTTTATTAAGACTAAGGTCAAGTTTGGCAACCCAAAAATAATCCATATTTTTATCTTTTTTCCATCACATCACTTCTCTACTTTTCTGCACATCTTTTCGTAAAAAGACAAAAAGTGCACTTATTTAGGTCATTCCAAACAACCCCTAAATCTTGGTTCTGCATTGGTCCCTATCATTGCCTTGAAATAATACCGAGATTCAAAGGTCCTCTCTTTGTTTTTACTGTCTGCATGACTGCATCACTCAGTAAATTGTTCATTTTATGAAACTTATTATGTAAGAAGTATGGACACGGACACGTGACACGACACGGATAGGACACGGATACGCTGACACGCTAATTTTCAAAAAATGCAGGACACGACATGTGGGGACACACATGAAATATATAATTTTATATATTTATTATATGTTATATATATAAATATATCATTCAAAGATAATAAAGAATGCAATATGACACTAATTTGTATAATTTATATAGGTTTTGTTTTATTACTGTATCTTAAGTTATTTTGTTCAAACTTATAATTAGTTTCACATGTTTCTAATCGATAGACATATGTGTTTAAGCGATTGACACGTGTGTCCTCCAAGTGTCCAAAGGGTGTCTTGGTTTTTAAAAAAATTTAAAAAATAGGACACGTTTTAAAGAGTGTCGGACACGTGTCCTAAGAGTGTCCAAAGAGTGTCGGTGTCTGACACGGACACGACACGGATATGTCACCTTCTTAGAAGTGTCCGTGCTTCCATTTCTTGTATCCTCCCACTCATTTCCAGGTTTCTTTCTTTGAAAGTAGGAAATGGGGAATCAATTCATTTTTGGGGGGGCATTTGGGTGGGTGAACTTCCTATTGATAGGGGCTTTTCCAATTGGTCGTATCTATTCAATAATCGAATATGAATAACTTGCTATTCACTCGATTTTGGGGTCATAATCATGAAAAAATATGTAGGAGAGATGGCCAAGTGGTCATGATTTGTATATGTACACCTTTTAAGGGTATATAGCTAAATTTTCCTATATTTGGGGAATTTACCAATAAATCCTACATGTTGATATTATAATCCAATTAGTCCCAAATGTTTTTTAATGCTCCATTTAGTCCTATTTGTTGTAAAAGGACCCAATTGCCATTAGTAGTTGTGGAGTGTTTGTTATGATACGTCGCGTGCGCGTGTGGCACAGATGAGCTAAAATGGCATGAGATTTGTCACGTGCCACACAGTTGTCTGTCACACACCCAAAAAGTTTACTAAGGGTTTTTGTAGAAGACTGTTGTGGTTTTTGGTTGCCATGTATTCCACATATTGAAAACCCATACCCATTAAAAACTCAACCCGATTTAAGCATCCACATCCCCACACACAGTGAAGTGGAAACGTAACATAGGAAACCCTCGTTTTTGCGATTTGCTTGGATTTCGAAATTGGGATTGACCATATATACCGTTCGCGTGATTTGGGGGGAAATTATAAAGATTGAGTGGGCAATTTCCATTTGTTGCTGTGATTAGTTGGGCAAATGTATTTGTGACAGGGCAGATCGTGGACGACGACGAAACCCTAGTGTTCATATTTCGTAGTCCTTGGTTGTGGGCATATAGTTATGGCCGAAAATGGTATGTACCATATCTTTATGCTGTAATTCTTGTGTGACAATGTGGATTATGAGTGTTTGATTATTCGGTTTGATTACCCGATTGCAAATTTTTTTTTTTTTTGCGATCTTTATTTTGGGGCTGTCTGTGTCCAAATTTGATACAAGGAGTTCTCCTGGAATATATCATGTGCATTGCATAAGCTGATGATGGTGCTGAGGTCGCCTTGATGTAACTATTACAAAGTGCAGATTCTTGAACCATTAAGCCTTGAATTATTTTGAAGATGATATTAATCAATTATTGCTATGGCGGTTCAAGAAAGTGGGTTTGAATGATCTTTTCGCTTTCCTGAGATTTATGTTTTTATGAAGTAATCTGCAGTTGCCTTCAGAACGTGTTGTCTGTTATCTTTTTTGTTATCCTCATTCACATTGCTAATTTGGTGCTCATGTTGCAGCCATGGGGATTTTAAAAAAAAAAATCTTTTCTCCTTTTGTTTTTATTTTGTTTATTTTAACTTATCAATTTTTTGCTTTCTCAATGACATTTGATAGAAATAAAATGAAACTGATATATATATATATATTTTTAATAAAAAAATAAAACTATCCATACGGTAGATATGGGTTTGCATTGGTTTGGGTTCTTTAGGAATTCTATGGTTTAAAGTTATGTGCTTCATTATGATTTTGCGTAGTGCTGGGTTTTGGATTGTAGCTGCCATTTTAGATGTTACTGTTGTTTGTGGTGATAGACAAATTTTAGTTTGATTTTATTGCAATGACGATTTTGTTTTGTTAGAACTAAAATATTTGCATTTTATATCTATCATGTGCAGATAAGCAATGGAGATGTCAGATGAGACAGTGATTGTCAATACTAGTAGATTGAAATCTGTTGTATGGAATGATTTTGATAGGGTTAAAAAAGGTGACACCTATGTGGCTGTTTGTAGGCATTGCAAAAAGAGACTCAGTGGTTCTAGTACCAGTGGGACATCACATTTGAGGAATCATTTAATCAGATGTCGGAGAAGATCAAGCCATGACATTGTTCAACTGCTTTCAACAAAGGGAAAGAAAAAGGAAGCAACTCTTGCAATTGCAAATTTTAGTTTTGATCAAGAGCAGAGGAAGGGTGAAATGCTTAACCTCGTACATAATAGGTATGAACAAGAACAGACAAATGATGGTACCATTAATGTTGGACATAGTAACTTCGATAATAAGCGTAGTCGATTTGATCTCGCTCGCATGATTATTTTGCATGGTTATCCTTTGTCTATGGTTGAGCATGTTGGATTCCAACTATTTGTTAGAAATCTTCAGCCTTTGTTCGAGTTAGTGACATTTAATAGGGTTGAGGCCGACTGTATTGAAATTTATCATAAAGAGAAACAGAAGGTGTATGAGGTGCTAGATAAGTTACCTGGTAAAATCAGCATTACTGCTGATGTGTGGGTTGCTAAGGAAGATGTTGATTACTTATCTTTGACTGCACACTTTATTGATGATGATTGGCAATTAAAAAAGAAGGTTTTGAATTTTATAATGGTTGATCCTTCTCATACAGAAGATATGCTTTCAGAATTTATCATGACAAGTCTAATGGATTGGGATATCGATCGAAAATTATTTTCAATGACATTTGACAGTAGTTCTACCAATGACAATATCGTCTGTAGAATTAGAGACCGACTCTCCCAGAACAGGTTTCTTTTGTGTAATGGTCAATTATTTGATGTACGCTGTGCAGCAAATATTATTAAATTGATGGGTCAAGATGCCTTGGAAGCACTGTCGGAGGTAACCCATAAGATTCGGGAAAGCATTAGGTATGTTAGAAGTTCACAAGCAGCACAGGAAAAGTTCAACGGGATGGTTCATCTTGCGAGCATTGATAATCAGAAGTGCTTGTGTGTTGATAATTCAACACGATGGAACTCAACATATTTCATGCTTGAAGCTGCTTTAGTGTATAAAGATGCGTTTTCTCTTCTGCAAGAACATGATCCCATTTACACATTGTGTCCATCTGATATAGAGTGGAGCAGAGCAAGTGCCATTACTGGCTATTTGAAGCTCTTTGTTGAGGTTTCTAATGTTTTCACAGGGACCAAGTATCCGACAGCAAATATATATTTTCACGAGATTTGTGATGTGCATTTGCAGTTGATTGAATGGTGCCAGAACTCGGATACTTATCTTAGTTCTTTAGCCTTGAAGATGAAAAGCAAATTCGATGACTATTGGAAGAAGTGCAGCTTGGCTTTGGCAGTTGCAGCAATATTAGATCCTCGGTTCAAGATGAAGTTAGTAGAGTATTATTATCCTCAAATTTATGGCACGAGTGCTTCTGATTGTATCGATATTGTTTCTAATTGTATGAAAACACTTTACAATGGGCATGCCATTTGCTCCCCATTAGATTCTTATGGTCAAGGCTTGTCTTGTCAAGTAGGCGGTGGTGGTGGGGGTGGTAATGAATCTCGGGATAGACTAACGGGCTTTGACAGGTTCCTCCATGAAACTTCACAGAGCCAAAACACAAAATCAGATTTGGACAAATACTTGGAGGAACCACTTTTTCCTCGCAATATGGATTTCAGCATTTTAAATTGGTGGAAAGTTCACACACCAAGGTATCCCATTCTATCTATGATGGCCCGCAACATTTTGGGAATTCCCATGTCAAAAGTTTCATTGGAGTTTGCATTCAGCACTGGAGATCAAATGCTTGATCATTACCGGAGTTCACTAAGATCAGATACTGTGCAAGCCCTAATGTGTGCACAAGACTGGATGCGGAATGAACCTGAAGGTTAGTTATTTTGTCATTGACTATTTTCTACAATTTTATGGGAAAATTACCAAAAAAAAAAAGAAAAAAAAAACCCATAGTTTGATCCTAATAACAAATCAAACCTTGAGGTTTTAATTTGTTCAATTTGATCCCTGAAGTTTTTATTTGATCACAATCTCAACCACACGATTATTTCTGTTAAACTTAACTGATGGAAAATGGACATTTTTTGTCATTATACCTAACATTTTATGAAGATAATTATTACAGTTTTAACAAAATTAACATTAAGGTTTTGAAACTTTAATATTTCAAAAATAAACCCAGCTACCACCTCCTACTGTTGTGCACCACCACTCATCACTAGTCATCGGTTGCCGGCGGCAGCCCACTCTGGAACTCTTTCATCTCCAACATTGCTACCATCATATGCCATGTTCTCAACTAACACCAAGCCCAAGCAGAAATTGAGCTGTATCGAGCACACAATTGACTCGCTAGAAAAGAAAATACACAACTGACCGAACCAATGAGTCTTTCAAGCAGATTGTTGGTAAGATGAAGATGGCAATGTCATAGGTCCACATATATGTATAAGCGATGTTTCCTTTAGGCAATATAACTGAGATTGACAGATGATTTGAATTTTGATCCAATAAAAAATGTAGGGTTCAAATTTATCAAATTAAATCTCAGGGTTTGATTTGTTACTACTAGGATCCTTAGTAGCAGGAATCGTTCAACTTGCTCACGATTCTTCCTCAAAAGTGCGATTCTGCGCTTCTGACTCAGATTCGTAGAAGAATCGCAAGTTTGATGCTAGAGAAACGTGAATCTGGTCGCGGATCTGTCTTCTTCTCTTCCTCTTGATATGTCTGTCACTCTTCTCTCGATCTCATGACTCGTCTTCTCTAGATCGATCGATCTCGTCTCCTCTCTCCCTCGATCGATCTCGTCTCGTCTCTCGATCCACTCTTCTTCTCTCTTGATCGCCTCCTCCTCTTCTCTCTGTCTCCTCTCTCGCCTCTGTTTGAGTCTCTTTTCTCTCTTTCTTTTGTTTTTTTAAATTTTTTTTTTTGATTCTGCTGAGTCTCTCTTCTCTCTTTCTTTTTTATTGCTTTTGATTATAATATAAATATTAAATGTATTTATAATTATTCTCATATATTTTCTATTTATTTATTTTACCTTTATAAATATAAATAAATGTAATGGGTTATATATATATATATATTAAGTTAATGTTAATTTTTATATCCACAAAATAAATAGATTTTAATTTTAAGTAAAATCTAACAACACAAAATAAAATATAATTTATAACAATTTATGATAGTTATAATATATTTCAAATATTAATTGGAGAAAAAAAAATTATATCTCACAATATATTTATATATATTATTTAAAAAATATATATATTTTTTATATAATATTGTTAAAATTTACCATCACCTACCACACACTTACCATCACCTACCACACACTCACCTACTACACTCACCTACTCCTCACTTACCACCACCTACTCCACTACACCTACATCTATATAAGGAACCATTTGTAATAGACAGTAAAAAATATTTTTATGTTATATTTAATTAATTAAATATTACATAAAAATAAAAAATTTCTAACATATATATGCTAATTAATTTTTTTTAAAAAAAATGTTTATATAGATAAATTAAAAATATTTCAATAAAAATAATATATAAGAGCTCCCAAATTACGACTCCTTTACATGGCCACGCTTCCCCGCTCTCACTCCCGCTCCCGCTTCTGCTTCCGCTTCCACTTCGTGCAACTAAGCTAGGATCAAACTTGGGTTTTTTTATTTTTTATTTTTTTGGTGGTTGTTGTTGTTGTAATTTTCCCTAATTTTATTTGTTACTAACTGCAGTATATATACTATTTTGCTATATCAGATTCCAAATCTACCTCGAGCCAGTCTACTTTGGCTCTATGCTACGACGGGAATTAACAAGGATTATTGGTATGGTTTTGTGGTTCTACTCTATTTTCTTTACACATTTTCTCTCCCTCCATTTATTTTCTTCTCTTATATTTTTTTCTACTTACTTTTTGTAATCATTTTAATCTCAAGCCTCAATGTAGAGGTTTTTTTTGTTTTGTTTTGTTTTGTTTTGTTTTTCTTAAGATCTGTTCCCGACCTTTATTTCCGGAGCTAGTTTAGGGTTTTGAGCAAATATTGTATCTTTTTTTTTTTTCATGGAACTACAGGCTTTGGATTTGTAGGTTGCTTATTTATATAGATATTTATTATTATTTGTTCCTGGGTTCACGCTTGGATCATTCCGTGTATTTGTGGTACACAATAGATTGCAACCTAAAACAAATAGATGTGAAAACTTGGCAAAGGTAAATGGCTACAGGAGCCACAGATTTACATGGGGCCCTGTTGCTACAAGCATCTGTCCTGGGGCCATTGGCACATACATAATTTTCCAAAAACTTGTCATTGGCATAATTTGTAAGAAATCCTCTTTATGCTTATTATTTTTTTATTCATAGGTCTGAAATTGTAGGTTGTATATGCTTCCCTTCACACCTGTGTGAAAGCTGTAGTGTTTGATGGAATTCTTTTTCATACTTTGGTTGTAATTAGCTCAAGAGGGCTAAGGGAAGAAGTAACAAGAGGGGAGGTAGCCAAGGGTGCTGTAAGGGTAGAGGAGCTGCCAAGAGGTATGATAGAGAGAGATGTAAAAGATATCATTGAGCAGAAAGTCCATGGAACTTGGAGCTTATGGATTCAATTATCCTTGAGCAGGGATCTTGGATATTGATGTTGGATTATGGATGTTTTTGATCTCACCATTGTATTCTCAATTGGTCTCGGTATGTGCTGAACCACATTAAATATTTGTGTTTCTCTTGTGTGCGCGTGCATGTTTATTTATTTTAAGCATTCTTCCACTAGCACATGGAACTCCTTATTTTGAGCATTCTTCCACTAGCACATGGAACTTGTCTTCTCAAGAAATAGTGTCAAACCAATATAATTTATTATTATTTGAGGATGTGATATTTTTTTCCCCCTTTAATACAGTACATGCACAACATTTATCATTCCAAATTATTGGAGTTAGGAAAGGGGTTCATTCAGTTATCTTCAGTTGGCATCTCTTGAGGAGTTAGGAAAGGCTTCGGAGGCATTTGCACAAGTTCAATATTTCCTTCAAGCATTTCTACAACTTTATTCGTCGCAGGACGATCATCATGCTTCATTTGTATGCACCATAACGCTGTTATTATCATTTTTCTTATCATCTGCCTTTCTTCCTCTGTGCTCTCTCCCATTTCCACGTCCTTCCCTTCTTTAAATTGGTCATAAACCCAAGAAGGAAAGTAAATTTGGCTTGTATGATCAGCAAATGCATTCAAGTTTCTCCTTCTACCTGCCATTTCCATCAACATTCCGAAACTATAAACATCAACTTTGTAGGAAAGACGTCCAATGTTTTTGTAGAACAATTCCAGAGCCATGTAGCCCATTGTTCCTCTTGCTGCAGTCACGTACACATTGCTATTATCTGTTGGATACAATTTCGCAAGCCCAAAGTTGGAAACTTTTGGAGTGAAATTTTCGTCTAAAAGAATGTTATGAGGCTTGATGTCAAAATGTAAAATTTGCATGTCACAACCCCGATGCAAATATTCAATCCCACGGGCCACGCCACGAGAAATATCATACATTTGCTTGTAACTCAAGGAGATATTTCCTTCTTGGGAAAAAATGTACTTTTCAAGAGACCCATTAGGCATGAAGTCATAGACAAGAGCACGCTTAGATCTGTCAGCACAAAATCCGATTAGTTTTACCACATTGACATCATGAATTCTTCCAATGGTAGCAACTTCATTGATGAAATCTTGGCCATTAGCTTTGTGCTTATTTAATATATTTATTGCCACAATATGATCACTCCGAAGTTTTCCTTTGTATACACAACCAAAGCCTCCTTCCCCCAACTTGTCCTTGAAACCTTTGGTCATCATCTTAATGTTCCAATAAGAGTACCTAATAGGCATGAGGTTGTTCTGACTTTGCAAGAAACCTTCAATGGTATCAAACATTGATAAATGCCTTGTCCGAAACTTATAGATTAAAAATGCGAATAAGCATAGCATCCTACAAAATGTTCTAGCTCCAAGAATAAATCCTGCCCAGGGAGATCAAAACATGAACAAATAAGAAAGGAAAAAAAGAAAAGAAAAAAGACCTTTGTTTTTCTCTACCAATAGAATCGTATGTTGAATTCTTCCAGCTTTTATCATTGGATTTTGGTTCGTATAAATTCTTAAGATTTTCAAGCTTAACAGTAGAAGGAAGAAATGTTACCTATGATTGTGAGCAAGTAAATGACATCCGCTGAAAGAAAAAATGTACCAAAGATTCAGTGAAGTGACTAAGGCAATGAGGCAATTAAAAAAAATAAAAAAAGAAATGAAGAAGCTAGTCAATCTAAGGAAGAATTTATAGGCTTTGAACATTTATCAGGTGATTGAAGGCCTTTAGATTTGAAAAAATTTTACAAGAAAATTTTAGTTCTCACGATGATACTACTATTGCACAAAAGACAGGAATTGCAAAATTGGGTTGGAAATGTGAGGTGATCGCAAGATTGTAAATAATGAAATAATTATGAATGAGAAATAAAGAGCGCTTACTGTAAATCAGCTCCAAGGCACCTGCATTTTTTTTTTTTTTGACATATAAATTATGTTAGCAAACTAAAGTCATTAATCTTACAAAAAAAAAAAAACTAAAAACAAAATCAAAGACTGAGGAGATAGTTGAATTTAATGTTTAGCACAACATATCCTAATTTCTCAGTATGTTCATAGTTTCTCTCTCTTTATATCAATTTTAAATTACTTAGCATATGTATAATAGAAAGACTATATGCAATCAAAAATTCATTGAGGACTCCAAACCCTAAAAATGAATCTATGTCATGTGGCAGCCTTACCTTTTTTGGCCTCTAAACATCAGTTTAGGTGCCACTTAAATTACAGAATGAATAAATAAATAAATAAATAAATAAATGCGCAGAAATATGCAAAAAAAGAAAAAATGTACACATAAACTATGTGTGGATCAGATTTAGTTTTGTTGTGGTGGGTTCACACACTGAATTTTCCTGGAAACATTTATTTATGTGCTTTATTTCTCTGTACCTAGTATTCCTCTTACAAAAAATATTTATAAATCTCTCTTTCTTAAAAAATTTTGTTTGAAGAAACCATTACTCATGTTAACTAACAAAGTTTTGGACTAACATCTTGTTTGTATTTGAATTTTGGATTTTCGTAGTAATTAGAAGTGTACAAAGAAACTCAAAAAACTGACCTCTATGCATTCGTTTGGTTTGGTTTTTTTTCAATATTTTGGTTCGGTTCTATGTCTTAAAATCGTGGACTCAATAGGATTAGTTTGGTTCTTAGTTTAGACCATGCTTAAATCGACCCACCCAAGACTCAAACCTATTATAAAATTATATTTATGCTAAGTTGCTTTCATATAATTAGCATGAAGTAAATACTAAGGTAGATATTGCTATATCTAATCATGCTATGTAAGAGAAAATCTTACGCACATAGAAATGTCAACTTGATTTGGGAATCGCAGAAGTTGTAACAAGTGACTGTAATTGGTAGTAGGATCAATGAAGCAACTGCCTCCTCTTGAGCAATTTTCACATAGAATTTTGGCCCACGAAAGCTCAAATCCAGAGGCTAACTGTGCGTGGAATTCCATGAAGCTACTGGAAAAGTTATAATTTGCTGCTGCTGCTGCTGCTGCTGCTTCTGTTGTTGGAGGTAAAGGCGACCACAAGGTAGCTGCAACTATCTCATCTATTCTGCACAGATCAGCCACATCTGATGCTCTCAAGTTTCCAAACAGAAAGTAAGAGTAGTAATGGGTATGCGAAGAAGACTTATTAATACAACTAGTATAAGTAGTACTACTAGTGTTCATGTATAGTGGAGAATTCACTGGATTTTCACATTCCACCAGCACTGCTACAGCTTCAAGACAGGGAAACTCCCATTGGAACTCATCTGGATTATATGAACCATATGAATTATAATCATCATAAGAAAAAGCAGGACCAGTAAAGTTTTCATAGGATAAAGAATAAAGAGGGAGGGAGGAGTAACTTCCATTTTGAATGCCCATATCCACGACTCGGATTGTGTAGTTGTTGTAGTTGATTGCCTGCACATAGTAGTATTTAGGATCACCCGCAGATGGTAAGTCAAGCAGTGGATGATTGTTGTGGCAGGCCAGTTCATATCTCTTGTTTCCGCAATTTTCCGGGTCACCTTCATATCGAAATGGGTATCTGATGTTTTGAATGTTCCCACAAGAAGAAGAATCACAGTTCCTATCACTTGTTCTTAAAGCATCACAGTTCACTAAAAACAGGACAAACAGAAGAATGAAGAAAAGAAGCCTAGACATGGATGGATGATGGAAGGGAAGAGAAGGGAAGGGAAATCATATCAGAGTGAGTCTGTTTGCAGTTGCCCAAATCCCCTTGTTGTGGCTAGTAATTTCAAGGCTTGTGTTATAATATTATATTAAAGGGCTAAGGAAAAATATCAAAAAAATAAAAAAATAAAAAAAATTGTAAACTGGATTGTAAGGATTAGTTTAGTTTTCTCAATGGGTCCTAATCAAACCGTTTAAATATATATATTTTGTTAATAATACCCCCAACTACTTGATTAATATCCCCACCACATATACACAAGTTATTAATAACTTTCTGCAACTTATGTTACCTAAAAAAGTATCCAAATTTAAGAAAAGTAGACTTAGGCTTGTAATTAGTGGTAAAATTACTTCTACATAATTATTTAATAAAAATGTCTAAGACTCCCTTTTTTTCCCACCCCCTTTGACTCCCTCTCTCTCTCTCATTGATTGGATTTTTTTTTTTTTTTTTTGTTTCCCATGTCCTCCAATCACCACCTACCACATGTGTGTGGGGTGGTGGGGTTGGTGATTGGAGGGGGTTTCTATCACTCTTCATTATTTAAATAATTTTTGTTTGAAAACTAACGGCATATTGTTTGACATTTGAGCAAGTTGTAATCAATATTTTGTGAGAATCGTGGCTTTAATCCAAATCGAACCACGTTTTATTGATTCGGTTTGATTTGGTTTTAAAATTTTTATAATTTGGTTTGATTCTAAATTTCAGAGAGTTGAATCGTAAGTAGTGGTTTGGTTCTTGATTTGTTCCTAAATTGAACCGAACCAAATCAAACCATATACTCACATCACCTCTATTATGTTATCACTGGAATGTGATTTGGCCAACTATTTCGTTGCTCGAAATTAAAATAGTCACATAGAAAATGATACCAGCCTAGTAAATGCAACGAAGTGGGTTAAACTTCAAACTATGGCTGTTTTGTTTTGATTTTGTCACACACTGCTTGAAGATAGAGACAGGATGAGGAATTTGACATTAAGATAGAGACAAGGCTGGCGATAGGATTTTTGAGATGGAAGGCGGAGTCTTAAAATTGGAGCCCTTCATGTATAAGTAATAAAAAAATCATTTATTTAAATCAAGTTTGTACTCAAATCTATAATCAAATTAAATTGGGAAAAAAATAAAGAGTTAAACATGCTCTAAAAACGTTAAATTTAGATTGTGAAGTTAAATGAGTTGTTTTGGACATATTTTTAAACCTACTAACACCATAAGAGTTATTCAGGAGTCCTTAAAATTTATCGAAATTTGGGGGCCAAGGCGGCTGCCTTGCTTGCCTTTGGCCAGGGCCGGCTCTGCAAAGAGGATGTTGACTTGAAGAAAGTGACAAATGAGGATGAGGATGAGGAGGCATTGAATTTGAAACTCCACAAGGAAATTAGTATGCAAATGGCCATGATCTTCTTCTTCCTCATCTTTCTTTTTCTCTTGTTATTGTTCCAACTCCAAGGAGTAGTATTGGCAGCAGAAGCACCACAAGCACCACGAGTGTTAAAACCTACCACCTACTACCACCTCCACTACACCTACTACACCTACTCCACCTACTCCATTTCACCTACTCCACTACACCTACATCTCCTATATAAGGAGCCCCTCACCATTTGTAATATACAACATTCAATATATCAATACATAATTCATTCTCTCTATTTCTCTATACATCAATTTTAACATGGTATCAGAGCAAGGTTAAGAACTTAGTATTTTTCGCTTCATCGGCGGGTGGCAACCTCGCCTTGGCCGCCCGCCGGACCTCAACCTAGTCCGCTAGAATTTTCTACACATACCTTGAAATTTCTTCGAGTCCACCACCTTCACGCCCAACTCCTTCGAGTCGCTGTCCTTGACTCACCCAGTCAACCCAGACACATACACAACACCAACTTGATCTTCTCATCCACGACCCATCACCACGATACCAGACACACACATACACATATATATAAATGAGGTGTAAGAAACACCTTACCGATCTCAGTAGCAGCGTCGGTGTCTGCGGTTCTTGTCTCCGGAAACGACTCTTTGCCCTAATCGCAGCTCAAGCACAAGTCCAATCTCAAATTCGAGCTCAACAATTCCATCTCGAACAAGAAGATCGCCGGAAAACTGATCCTCTTCCACCGCCTCTCGTTTTCCCTCGCTCTGCATCGCCGTACGTCTATCGCCGTGAATCTAGAATATCCGGCACACCTTTTTATGGATTGGGCACGCCTTTTGATGGCACGTCTTTTGAAAGATTGGGCACACCTTTTGAGGGTGCGACTTTTACAACGGTCCGACATGACCCCATAAACTGTCCCGACATTGATTCCGGTTAGCATCTACAACGGTCCGGCATGACCCCCTAAACTGTCCCGACATTTGATTCCGGTTAGCTTTTCCACCGGTCCGACATGACCCCATAAACTGTCCCGACATTTGATTCCGGTTAGCTTTTCCAACGGTCCGACATGACCCCATAAACTGTCCCGACATTGATTCCGGTTAGCTTTTCCAACGGTCCGACATGACCCCATAAACTGTTCCGACATTGATTCCGGTTAGCTCCTACAATGGTCTGACACCACCATACAGTGTCTTCACCAACGGTCTGACACGACCATACAGTGTCTCCTATCCTATTTTATTTTCTTTATCAATTTATTTTCCTGTTTTGTTACTCTCTCCAAACTTAAGTTGGTTAGTTCCTATCCCCTTGAGTTTGCGGGGGGCTGTTAAAACCTACCACCTACTACCACCTCCACTACACCTACTACACCTACTCCACCTACTCCACTTCACCTACTCCACTACACCTACATCTCCTATATAAGGAGCCCCTCACCATTTGTAATATACAACATTCAATATATCAATACATAATTCATTCTCTCTATTTCTCTATACATCAATTTTAACAACGAGCACGACCACTAAATTCAGATGAATGTACGGTGACACAGAGGTGTGGGGAATATGGTCCAGACATCCGGTTCCCATTCTGGCTAAAGGATCACCAGCCAAATCACTGTGGCTATCCCGGGTTTGAACTGTCCTGCTCCCCAACCAACCTTACCATGCTTGAGCTCGTGACTGTAACTGTATTTGTCCAGCAAATCAATTACATAGACCAGTCTTTATATATAAGTGACCCCAGCAGTTGCTTTCCGGAACAGCTTCTCCTAAATCTAAACCACAGTTTATCAGCCTCTCCCTTCAAATTCTCACCACATTATTACCCAGGTAATTTTAGCTTTTTCAGTTGTCCCTCCTCAACAATGCAAACCTACCCTTTTGAATGGTATGATATAAAATATGCATATTATAGACATTCACCATTTCCAATCACAAATAATTGCCATAACGGCAGCCAAGGTCATGTGGTCTATGTGGTACCTGATGATTTTTTAATCCAGCAGTTCCTATTATCTTGCCGAAAGTTATATACAGTAACATCAATAGATTCCCCTCTATATGGTTCTCCTGATTTAGATACTAGTGAACTTCGATTGAGTTGGTCCAAGCCCATATGTGGGAGGTGTGAAGAAATAGGCAAGTGTTGTAGATTGAGGAGGAGGAATAACAGCAACAACAGCAGCAGGAAACATGATGAAATTGAATGCTTTGACAATAACATACATAACCACCACCAATTACTACTGGTATTTCAAGTACTCCTTCCTCTATTAGTTTTCCCTTGTGTTTTACTTTCAGTTAGGAGTCACTTAAGCCTACAAATTAATCGTGATTTTCAGCTGTCATGAGACTCATTGGAGTATCTATCAGATCTCTCTACAAATTATGATCCTTGTTGACAACTGAAAGAGAGCTTGCACATATCTTGAAAACTTTTAGGAAATAAATTATAGATAAGAAACATTATATATTTTTATGAATGACAAACATTCTGGTCATGTCTATCTTTTACAGGTGAAACAAAAATCCTAGTGCTTAAAGGTGAATTATCTGTCTACCCTCCCGTGATTTTTTTTTTTTTTTTCCTTCTTTTTCTGGAGAAGGAATTTTCACTCCTAATTTTTGTTGGTTAAAATTGCAGGTGTGATACCACCCGGCTTGATTCTTCTTCTTGTAGTCATGGTCACAATATATTTTGTCCACAGATCAAATAAATTAAAGAAAGAGGATCAAGTAAAAATTGAAAGATTTTTGGAGGATTACATAACTCTCAAACCTACTAGATACACTTATGCCGAGATTAAGAAAATTACTAACAATTTTAAGGAAAAACTAGGCCAAGGAGGTTATGGAAAAGTGTACAAGGGAAAACTTTCCAATGACATCCACATTGCAGCCAAGATCCTCAACGATGTCAAGGGGAATGGGGACGACTTCATCAACGAAGTTGGAACAATAGGCAGAATTCACCACGTCAACGTGGTTCGCTTGGTCGGATACTGTGCTGATGGATTTAAAAGAGCTCTCGTTTATGAGTACTTGCCAAATGATTCGTTAGAGAAGTTTATATCATCTAATCAGGAAAAATGTTCACTTGGTTGGGAGAAGCTACAAGGTATTGCTCTTGGCATAGCCAAAGGTATTGAATATCTTCATCAAGGGTGTGATCAAAGAATCCTTCATTTCGATATTAAACTTCATAGCATCTTGTTGGACCACAACTTCAATCCCAAGATCTCTGATTTTGGTCTAGCCAAGTTGTGTTCGAAAGAACAAAGTGCCATATCCATGACTGCTGCTTGGGGCACCATAGGCTATATTGCACCTGAAGTGTTCTCTAGGAACTTTGGGAATGTGTCATACAAGTCAGATGTCTATAGTTTTGGAATGTTGTTGCTTGAAATGGTTGGAGGGAGGAAGAATACCCATGTTACAACATAGAACACAAGCGAAGTTTACTTCCCCGAATGGATCTATAACCGTTTAAATCATGAAGAAGAACAGGGGATTGTGATTGAGGAAGATGGAGATGCTAAGATTGTGAAGAAACTAACAATTGTGGGACTTTGGTGCATTCAGTGGTACCCAGGAGACCGGCCTTCAATGAAAGTTGTGGTTCAAATGTTGGAAGGAGATGATGGAGACACTCTGACTATGCCACCCAATCCATTTACCACCACAAATCAAATGACTGCTAGGGATCGAAAGTCTTTTGACAGCAAGTTAGAAGTCATTTCTGAATCTGAAACTGAATCTGAATCTGAGTGAGAGAATCAAATTAGTGTTGTTTGTGTTGGACTTTTTATCGGTTTGTATATCTGGTAGAAATCTTGTTTCTATCAATCAGAATAGGAACAATTGTGTGAAAATAATACATCTGGTGTATAGGCTTTGAAATGTTTTGTTTTCATTTGCTATTATTGTACTATGCATTGGAAAGCAACAAAATATAAATATCTAATCAGTGTTATTAGTTAGAAAGGCCTTGGCAGCAGAAGGCTCTTGGCAAGGACTTGTCCCACAAATGAATTACGACATTCTTAACAGCACCCAAGAAAGTTGATATTGTAACTAAAACATTCACTCCAGCAGTGTTGTATTTGTTGTCTTAAAATATTGTAGTCCTATTTCCTATGCCAAATTTGACACACCATATAGCACAATGCTATTTTATACTACACCTTTGACTATATGATTGTTTTAAAAAAATAAAATTACAACTATATCAATATAATTGGAGTTTCATTTATCACTAATTTATTACTGTTTCATTATTAATCAAATAAATTAAGCAATTGAAATCTTCACCTATCGATTGAATCCTCACCAAGATTCTTTTTCACCTATTTATCTAGATTCCAATCAAGATCCAATTGATTGTGGAGTTGATTCTGCAAGAACTCAAAGCCTTAATGGAAGAGAGGTGAAAAAGGAATTGCATAGAAAGAACAAAATAGCAGAAGATTCGAGTTTTCGCTTTGTGGGGTAATAATATTCTCAACAAACTTTGATTTTGATAGAAATCATATCTTATTTTTATTTTTATTTTATAATTTTAAATGATTATGTCTTGTGTTTTATTTTGTTTAACAATTTTTATTTATTTTGTAACTTTGACTTAAGTTTGTGATTGATAGGTAGTGGGAAAAAACGCGCGCACACACACAAATTTACATTGTTGAAGTATCTGTGCTATTTTAGCACAGTAAATACTACACACTAGTACAGCAGCTTATAACCCCAAAAACACTACCCCAATAGAGATGCCCTTAGTAATTCAAGATATATTACATTTACGAATGTTCTCATCAGCTTCATGTACTTTATTCAACTATTAAAATAGTAATATGTGAAACATTTTAAAATTCCAAGGACCCAAGGAACCTGAGGTTTACCCATGAGAAGGACTTCAAGGCTTCACACCAAGTCCTCAGTGACATAATATGAATATGCTTAGGTAGGATTAAGTCGAGTTGTTGTTACCTGGTGGGAACTTTCCTCATATTGTTATCTTAAAAGGTTTTACTAAATTCATCGAGTTGTGCCAAATAATAAAAAAACCTATTATTAAATGATTTCCTAGTCTGCTTGATGAGGGGACTCAATAAATTATAGAAGGAGTGGTGTGTGGTCCAACGACTAGTTCTCCTCTTGACTGGAAGCAAGCAGGAAAAACTGGATGTTA